TTCGGAAATATGCGCAAGAGCATACCCTTGTATTTCTACCATGATTGCGAGTAGATGATGTGCGAGCACGCGACGATGGCGACGAGGACGTATGGGATGTATCCGGTGCGGCCGGTAGTCAACCTACTCAACGAGAGTGTAATCTGCGGACGCTTTTCGATGTACAAAATGCGAAATATTCACGAGGACGGACTTGACGACCGTTGCCCCGACGTCGTCGCCACCGACGTCGCCGACGCCGTCGACCTCGCCACGGGAGCCGAGATGCCCGACAGCATTGCCACGCAGGTTATCTGCCTTCTGCAGGTTTCCGTCTTTTCGTTTCCGTTTTTTCGTTTTCGCTTGGCCGCTCCTCGGGGCCGACGCACCGTGCCCGCGCGCCACGGCCGACGGCCACGCTTTTCGCGGTCGCGCGAGAGAACGAAAGAGCGAGTGACATGACTGACTCCTCCCGAAAATTTCCGCGGACACACTGATCCGCGATCGACCGGGAGAGCGGAGCGGTGCTGCGGTTCTCTCTTTTTTTCTCTCTCTCTCTCTCTTTCTCGCTCTCCGCCTCGGGGGGGGCTTGATCGATGTGTCCTTCCCCCCTGGGATCTCATTTTTCAAGACTCGGGGAAATGTCGACGGTCTCTCACGGAAATTGGTCCAGGTAGAAGGTTCGACTGAAATACGGCATGAACGCGCGAATAGTATTTCACGGCGGTGCGAACTATTTAACTTCCGCGCGCGCGAAAGCGCGAGACGCACGATTGTCAAAAACGCGAACACGAGCGCGAAGGTTGGCCAAAACGTTCGAGATCGACCGCGCCGTTAGAAACGGGGTTTAATCCGCCGACGTCATTAATAAGTAGGTGATTTTTTTTGGCCGACTCTGCTATAAGCGACCAAGGTGTCAAACTGTATCAGCACCAATAGCAACCTTGGTATATGTGCCAAACCGTATCAAAATTGCCAAAAATCACCTAATGTTATTGTTATATTAAAGTATTCCGCGAGTTGTGAGAAAGAAAGAGAGAGAGAGAGAGAGAGATTATTTACGCTGGCTCTCCATGATTGTATTTAATCGTTAAAAGTTTCATCAACAGCATGGTAAATTTAGCGTAAGATAATTTATCGTGCAGTTACTTCTAATATTGCGTCAGATCGTTGAAAGTTTGTTCTCCTCGTTTACGTATCTAAATTATTGTAGCTACGTTGTATAGAGAAAAGAAAGTATTATATTGTGCAATTATTTATTTTCTAGAATCATTTCTTTGGTATTTACTGTATGACGTTTATGTTCAGCGCATGTTTTGCTCTTGTTCTAATTTCTTATTTGTTATTCTTTTTGTTCTTATTCTATTGTGAATGGAGAGAAGAATTTTTTGTTTAAATTTTATCCATGTTATTGTTAGAGTCAAACATTGTATGTATAAATCTAGAACAATATGTGTGTGTGCCTTTCCTTATTGATATTTTTATTTAAATCCTCCAGTGGATTTTACATTTGTATTACTAGCTAGTATTGTTAGCTGCAAGTATTATAGCACAGATATTATATTAGCCCAATTATATTTGCTACATTTTGTTTTATGTTTATATATTCTAACACATTTCTCGAATTTGTCATGATATAATATAAATTTCTTTAGCATTTGTATATATTGTGAATGTTGGGTTCAAATATTGTTGAATTAACTTTACATAGAACAAAATAATATACAGTAGAAATAGTACTCATATTGCAATTAATTATGTTTTTTCTAGGCATCTAGGTCGGAACACGGAACGTTGGAAGCTAGGCAAGAAAAAGTTCTCGATCAATTGGCAGAACTTAAAAAGCAGATCTATAGACTACAATGTGTCGTGAAAGAGTCTTATCAGAAACCTAAGAAAGATTTGGTCTCAGTTCAGGTTAGCATTTATTGTATTAAATATAATTGCTTGCTAAATACTAATGCCTTGTATTTAATTTGTAATTACAGTTAATGCATCATTTGCTTTGTCAGCTGTGATACAAATGAACTTTTGTTTAATTGTCGCACGAGAGATCAACAAGCAATTGTCGTATATTTACAGAAACCAATCTTCGTCGACCTAGTGTTAAATGTGAATCCAAGCAAGCCGCCATATTCATTACTCGCTTTACAGAAACTTTGGAAGGACACTAACTTTAAAGTGAAAGCGTATACTCATTCTACTACAAAGGGTCAGATACCTATTGTTTTTCCTGAAACTACTAATAATATCGCAAATATCGTAGATGTAACATTGATATGGAAAGAAGGTAAGACGTAAATCTTCATCGATCTTAAGACTCCTGGTCCCTGAGCCGAGAACTCTGCGTTGACGGTGGCGCCGTACCGTCGCGGCAGAAATAAGAACTCTCTCCTCTCACTCTCTCCAATGGAGAATTCTGTCTTGTGACATGTTGACAACCTTATTTTAAGTTGCGGTATATTTCTTTATTATTCGCTCTGTACTTGTGCTCTAACGTTTAACGTATTCGTGAAACTCGTAAAATTGACCGTATGGTAAGATTTGCAAGAAATATATATGCGGAAGGAACATTCACCACTCCTTTCGATAGTCGTCAAACGGCTTGTTTTCCATATATTTTGGCTGCGTTTTATGGCTGTTTGTTTATTGTCGAGGGAAAAGGATAGTATCCGGTCAATTTTTGAAGTGTGCTGAAACGATCTGTCGTGATTTTTTATTGAAATGTCTTTTTATTTCGGAAAATACCGCAACTTAAAATTAGGTGTTTTCCTCGCCTCGATAGTAAGAATCCAATATGGCCGCGGTGACTACCCAGGAGCCTTAAGAAAGGGCATCCTCATACAGTTTATTCGTTAATAATTTAGGATGTATTGAAATTTTGGAAAGTAAGATGTATTCTTATAATCAAATTTTTAATCACTTTTTTATCATTCATTCGTTAGCAAACTTTTCTTTAATAGTTTATAAGTATTCCATATTTGATTAAATTCTTTTCTTTCAGTCTCGAATATGGAAGTTGTCACAAAAATTTCTCATTCTTGCCCCATAAAGGGCGAAGTCAATTTTCTCAGATATGTGAACAGGATGATAGAATCACATAATTACGAAAGCACATGCTCACAACCACATACATTAGACTTCGCGCTTGACTTCGTTAATTCGTTATACAATGAGCGACGTATAGAAAAGGGATTGCTTGTATTAGCCCGTGACTTTGAGAAATGGTCCTGCAAGGGTGGATTCAACATTGTTGACATTGCAGTCTGGTCTCTAATTAAACAGTTTCCTGGAACAAGTTTACCGCCGACCCTTCGCGAATGGTATACCCTATGCGAAACGACTTTTACAGAAACATAAATCGTGACAAATAAATCGTTTCTCTTTTATAAAAACTTTGATATGTTAATAAATGGATATGAATATATTGTTTTTCATTTATAAGAGCGTTATTGATTTATACTTACATATGTCCATCTGATATAAGAATTCCTTACCTCGTTGGCGATATATAATCGATAAAAAATTAATTTAATGAATTAGTAATGTAGATGTCCAAAAATTAGTTGTAAACATTATTAATTTTTTATCGTTCACAAATACGTTTCAAATTGGTAAATAAATTTGGTAAATCAGCGTGATGTAGAAAAATTTCCAAAATGGCATAAATTTTTATTGAAAGATTAACAGATTTTTTTCTCAGCGTCCTATACGATTAATATTACAGCTGATTTTTATACTTTTATGTCGTTACAAATACGCGCGTGGAAGTATATAAATAAAATTAAATTTGCACTAAACGTTCACTGGCAGTGTCGCGGAAACATAGTGGCGCGTTCAGCAGACCAAGCCGCTGAGTAGCAGTCGAACGTGATTGGCTCTTACTTTTAGAACCAACCAATCAATGCAGAATGTTGATAAGACGAACTCAACGGTTGTGTCTGCTAAACGCGGCCATTGTTTCTGTAGAAACATTTTTTACGAAAAGGGATTCGCTGCATCTCGCGACGTTCATAGAACTTTCTTTTTTTCTTAAAAAAAAAGTAATTAAATTATATCTAAATGCTTATAGCGAGCCTCGCGTAAAACGAATGATTTATGAAATACGAATCGGTAATAGTCTTATTTTATAATTAATAGTTAGATTAGGCTTTTTCCTATCCTGTATTTTAATCAAGTTTCATTATTCGCACAGTTTACGATAAATTTGACATATGCAATCGTCGTAGTTCCATTCGATATTGAACTTTGGACGTATGTTAAACGAGAATGTTTAAGAAGATGTGAATACTGCGTCTCAGTAACTATGATATATCTATGTACAATAGAAGCTCCATATTTATTTGCGTATTTCCTATATTCACAGGCCTAAGATAATCCGCTTATTGCAGGATACAACGAGGATAAAAAAATAACATTTCTTAATAGTTCTTAGAAGCAATTCTTATTTCAAAATAAGAAAAATTATAGGAAAGATATATACATTTTTTTTCATGTGTATATCAAAAATAAAAATTGTGTTTATGTATGTGTAAATATATAAATTATAAAATAAAAATTAATATTAAAAATATATATTATACATATATTTTATTTTTCGGAATCGCAATTTCCACGTTTATGACGGTTTAGCAAAATGTAAGTCCCGCGAATATGGAGCTTTTACTGTGTATATCACAAAACGCGAATAGATATAGTCCGCTCAATACAATGTGTAGTAGCATTATACAAAATCTACATTCTTACGGAAAATATATATAACATATTTACAAGCGTCTGACGTAGCGCAAGTACGCCAGCGTAAGAGCGGATTTTATACAGTGTCCCACAACTCGCGGTTTTCACAATAAAAATCCTCAATGAATTGATAAGATGATATGATAGGCCAACGATTGCAACGTTAAGTCTGAATTGATATTTGCTTCTTTTGAAAGGTCTGCAATATTGCGAATACACGATAACGCGATTATCCGCTCACAAATGCGTCTGCGATAAATACCTTCGAAAATGACAAGACTCTCAAAACTGAATTATGCGTGTAACCGTGTACCTATAATCGCATACCTGAGAAGTAGAACGGGAATAAGACCGAAATATCTGTCGAAAAAAAAAAGAATATTTGGACTTACTCTCTTCTACTCCGCAAGCACGAAATTTGTGAAACATTCGTATGAGATCCGTATGCTAGCTGTTTGGATCCTTAAACTAATCCGAGAAAGTACAAAAGTGTCTATTAAATGCAAATGAATGTCTTATCGAAAATTATAAATAATATATATATATATCAATATATCACAATACGAAGATGCCTCAAGCTTCTCATAGTTTGCTATAAGTCTATGCCGTCAGCACGCGCGAAACACACGTGTTTCTCTGACGTAAGTCTTTCGCTCTATATATGTATATGTATAAAAAAAGAGACTTTGCTCGAAGCGAAGTAGTTGCGACGGTAATTTTGATATCGATATATGAATAAGAAAAAGTTTCTCTGTCTAGTCTTGGTAATTCGGTTAATTAAACGAACGACGAGAAACCAGGTAGCGGTGCTCTCGATCTGGCCATGTTGTTCATGATAATCTGACCGCCGTTTAGACTAACGACCGCGCTGCCTTCCGGCTCGGAGTCTGTGTACGATGAATAGTTTCGGACGGGTTTCTGCCGTTTCCACGACTGCCTCAACGAGTCGTTCACGTTCGCGTAGTGATTCACGAAGGAATGTGGATCGGACTGCACGCTCTCGTTCTCGCTCTCAGAACCCTGTGAAACAAAAGCAGGATTAAGATTCTCTTCGTCAGAGAATCTTACGCATTGTCCTACATTTTAACGAAGAATCACCTGAGAATCGGTGGAACTGATTTCGGAGGGTTTCTCCGTAACGCTGCTGTCGTCGGGATTCTCATCGTATCCCTTGAGACTTTCCTCATCGCTGTGATAGGCGACCGATGCTGGGGAAGGCCTGGGGGGCGATTTGCCAAGCATCGTCGGTGGTGGAGGATGCATCGCCTTCCGGGCCAACGTATTCCTCTTACCCAGAGTGCCGCTTGCCGTGTTAACGGAACCACCTCCGCCCTGGCGCGATCTGTACAATTCCAGGTCCGACTCCTGCCTGTCATCCGCGTCCATCGCCATCGACTCTTCCAGAGTCTTTTGTGCCTCTTCTGTAATCATTTATATTAATATTATAAATCTATCTGTATCGAATTATATTACAGAAAAGCGATCTATTAATATAATCTAATTTTTCCTAATTTCAAATCAATTTATATATGCTAAATTCAACTTACGTTTGTATTTGTAGCTTTTACTCTTCACGCATAATACTGCTATGACCATAATGATAATTATAATTGATATAGCGGCTAAAGTGACCATGAACCAGGTCTGCCTGTAAAACGGCCTGTGCTGCAGATATGCGTATTCCAGGTACAGTTTCGATGGCGTCAAAATCTGCATAGCGACAAAATGATTTTATTAGTAAAATGTACCAGTTCGCAACAAATTTTATCTTCAAATAAATAAATATATAAAAGTGTAATATTCAAACAAGTAAATTTAATGTCCAGACGAATAGCTGTTTCTCTTTAATTAGACTTACCGTTTCAGAGGAATACGCTGGATAGCTAATTCCATAACGATTGTACGATATCACTCTGAACAAATACGATGTGGACGGCAGTAAGTTTTGGTAAGACACAGTATACTCTGTCAGTGGTCCGTTGCTAGTACGAACTATTGTCTGCCAGCGCGTATCGTCTACAATTACATACATAAACGACTTTATAATTTTTAAATTAGTAGGCATTTCCTAAAGGAAAAAAATTATTTTATTTGGGTACGCATATCACGATTACATAATCAAATTTTTTAATACAGGATGTCTCATTTGTACGACAGCATTTTTTAGTAGCAAATTCTTCGATCAATTTCGAGTCAACTTTTCCTCAAAACTGTTATTTCAATATTGTGCATCTCTATGAGTAATCATAAATAAAATTTTGCAGCAAAAAATCAACTTTATATAATTTATTTATTACAGTAAAAAACATATATATTTTATTTAAACTAACTGAAGGATATATAACTTACAATTAGACATTCATTTTTCTTTTGAGATTTAACTCGCCAGAAATCCTCCACCTTCAATTATTAATCACTCGATTAACTTAGCCCTGATATTTTTCTTAAGGTGATCCTAAAGTCGTGATCTTAACCGGTTTTTTTCTTAGCACTAATCTTTTAATTGGCTTTATAGAAATGCAAAATTCTTGTCTAGAATTAAAGTACGCATCAAAATCTAGGTCATGGTGGTCGAATTTATATCAAAAACAAAAAAAAATTAATATTTTTTGTTATACGTGACGACCACCACATATAAATTCGACCACCATGACCTAGATTTTGATGCGTACTTTAATTCTAGACAAGAATTTTGCATTTCTATAAAGCCAATTAAAAGATTAGTGCTAAGAAAAAAACTGAAAAAAAAACCGGTTAGGATCACGGCTTTAGGATCACCTTAAAGAACAGTTGATTTCAAATTAATCAGAGAAAGTATCGCTAAAAAATAATGCGATAGAAATGAGATACTATGTATAACAAATGAGTAGCTAGGAGTTCGTATTATTTTGGTGACTAATTGGTGACTTTAACACTTGGAGTGCCGTCCGTTTTCTGCGTGAAATTCTTTAAAGAGTAATCGGTTATTCTCAGGACTCCATTTTGCTATTATACGACATATGCGGAAAATATGTCATGTGTGCATATATCGTCTGCACGCAAAGTGTTAAAAAATAAGATTAATTGCGGCGGGGGAGAGGGGGCGATCTAAATAACAAAAATTGCGGCGTTCCCAACAAACAATACAACAAATCATCACGCTAGTATAATCAATCACTGGACCGTTTCTTTGTCAGGATAAGTATACACGATATGTTATAGCGCTATCTCCGAAGTAATATTAAATAAGTTAATATATCTTCAGTAAAATTCTGCTTGAACGTATAAAATGGGTTTCTGGCGACGTCATGCTATGACATTATCATGCAAATTATTGGAAATACCAAACGACCACGGCACATATGGTACACGTATAGTAATGTACAACGGGCTGTCAAAAGCGATATTGTTACGCTAACGGGGATCTCACTATAAAAACCATCTAATGCAATGACTGACGCTCATTGTAGTTACGTGCGTTGACACTTACAATGCTGCCATTCTTCCATCGCTATACAGTTATAAAAAAGACGGTATTAGTGTTAGCAGAACCAATAATCGAATTGAACGCGAATGTGAAATAATATGACGAATTACGCGGAATTTGTTTTATAAATCACTCTATGGTTGTAAATTATCGTTTTGTAAAATTGCAACGTTAACAAATATGCACGATGCGCCGAATTTATTTTATAAGCTAATTAAAAAAATTAGTTTACATTAAA